TCAATAAAATGGAATTATGGATAATAATTAACTTTGTATTTAAGATAATTAGCCTTGATTATAAATGTGCCAGTCTTTTATTCTCCCTCATTGTTTACCATACTGGCTGCTCTAATTGTAATCATCTTAGGAAATATTTCACTGCTGCTTTCTTAAAACAGACAATAGCTAAACTGTTTATTTCCTTTCTTTAAGGTTAATTAGTAATAAAGGTACATTTTTAACTTTATTATTTCTTTATTTTGTGAGCAACAGAGCAGTGTTTTAAATGCTTAAGATTTAAATGTTTAAAATTGTTTTTTAAAAGAAAGGGTACTGATTTAAAATTTTAAAAAATTTTGTTGGTACATTATGACTATACATCCTAGTGTGGGATTCATTATGCCATATTTATACATGCACATAACATAAAATGATCAATATCATTCTCTAGTACCTTCCTTTTCCCTCCCTAAACACCTCCCCTGATCCACTTGTGCTTACTCTGAGACATTTGTTTTCAACACAAAGCATTATGAAACATTATAGTCCAGTGCTTTCTAACACATATATGCTTTGTGTAATGAAATGTATTATTCTAGTAGTAGTAGTAGTAGTAAGAGCAGCTCACATCCACTGAAATTTTATTATTGGCCTTTCAGGTAGGATTTTATATATTCCTAAATTAGGAAAATATGAAATGGTAAAACTGAGAGAAATTAAAAACGTATCCAAAGTCATATATTAAGTAAACCTTTTTTTTTTTTTTTTTCCTGTTTGTACTAGGGATAGAGCCCACAGGCACTTTACCATTAAGCTATATCCCTAGCTCTTTTTAAAAAATTTTTGAGGCGAGATCTCCTTAAGTTGCAGTGGCTGACCTTGAACTTGGAATCCTTCTGCCTCCACCTCCCAAAATGCTGGAATTATAGCCATGTGCTACCATGCCCAGCTATGCAGCTAGTAAACTACTAATACATAACTGAAATCAAGGCAATTCAGCTTCTAGGTTCTTGTTATTATTTACTCAAAGTAAATACTTGACTCAACAGTATAGCATGGTCAGCTTCCATGTGAATAAACATACATCAAGAGCATTATCTCACCAGGCAAGGTAGGACATGCCTATAATCCCAGCTCCTGGGGAGGCTGAGGCAGGAGGATTGAAAATTTGAGGTCTGCCTCAGTAATTTAGCAAAACCCTGCCTCAAAAAACAAATTAAAAGGGCTGGAGATGTAGCTTATTGGTGGAGTTCACCTGGGTTTAATCCACAGAACCACAAACAAACAAACAGAAAAACAGAGAGAGAGGGTGGGGGGAGCATTGTCTCTCAATGGCAACACAGAATCCCTAAGGGTATAACAATTTATAAAACAGTCTTTATTTTAGATATATAATACCATGCCTGGCTCAAATTCTCAATTTCAGAAATTTGACCTGCAACCTCAAACTTTAGGTTGTTCACAGTTTTTTAGTGATCCAAATGTTACTTTGATAAATATCATCTATATACAATGTTGCATCTTTTTTATTTTCTTAAATTCCTATAAGACTCTTGAGTCACTGTTTTTGAAAACTTTAGACAAATTTTGGAATTGCCTTTCAGGAGAATGTAAATTTCTTCAACTGTCTAAATCTCTGATACTAGGACAATTGTATTTCATTGTTTCATAAGGTTAAATTCTTTTTCTCCTCTTAGTTATTAGACAGTTATATTTCTTTATGTAAATTATCTGTTTATTTTCCTTATCCTACTTATTTGTGAAGGTATATTCATTTTTATTAAGAACACACACTCATTATATATTATGGTCATGAATTTTTTATCACACATAATGCAAATATTTACCAACAGGAGTTTTACATACAGATAAATTATCTATTTATGTGTAAAAGTCCGAAGAATATTCTCTAATAAAAAGGGACTCAAGAAATATAATTCAGTCTTTGTAAAAGCAATCAAAGCTGTCTCTCAGTCAAGTGAAAAATGGAGCAAAATTAAGTCACAGTAGAGAAATCAGTGTCTTAATAAGGGATGATTTTTGAAAGTAACTCTTGGCAGTCTTTGGTTGCACTTCCAGAAATGCTTTATTTTATGTGAACCAAAAACCATTCCTGCTTTTCATCTGTATAAGTATGTAATGTTATTGAGAAATTTTTTCTTTATATGTGATGTTGTTAAAAAAACAAATTCTTGATTTCTTTCTTTCTTTTTTCTTTTCTCTTTCTCTCTTTCCTTTTTGGGGTTACTGAGGATTGAACCCAAGGTGCTCTACCACTGAGCTCCATCCCCAGTCCTTTATTTTTTATTTTGAGACAGGCTTTTACTAAGTTGCTGAGGCTGGCCTTGAACTTGGGATCCTATTGCCTTAGCTTCCCTAGTTCCTTGGATTTTAGGCATGCAACACCATGCCTGGCTCAAATTCTCAATTTCAGAAATTTGACCCATGTTTCACTCCTAACTAAAAGATAGGTTTTTAAAACCATTGTAATTATGGAACATGAAACGGCCAAAGGAGAGAGACTTTCCAATGTTTTTCAGTGGCCATCAAAGAGAAAATAAAATCTCTAGAAATTAATTTAATTCAAAAAAGTCCTTTATAATTTAAAGACATTTCATTTAAGTTATGAGTCTAATGCATCAAAAAAGTCTAGAACTTGATGTGATTTTAAATAACTTGATTTGAAAAGGAATTTATTGTAAGAAAATTGTATTTAAGTAGAGACAAAGACCTTTTTCCCCTTCTTTTTTTTGGCTCAGAAGGAGATGAGAAATGCTATTTCAGGGACAAGATTACCAGCACAGGGGAACCCTTTGGCAGGAGGATAAATGGCTTTGGCAGAAGGCTGCCCTCCCAAAGAAAAAGACTTCAGCTTATTCTAAACCAGGGTGTGGTGATGCATTCCAGGCACAAGCGATACCCCTGCTAGTGGGGTGGGCCAGGCAGGTGCTGCTTGGAAATACAAGCAGAATTTCAAAATTCTCTCTCCTTTGTGGTGGAAACACAAACTTCTGGAAGTTTGCAGAGCTGCCTCATTAGAAACGAGTTTTGAGATCCACCCCTTGCCCAGATCTCTAGGGAGGATGAGTTACTGTTCCTAGGAAGTAATTGTGTTAGTAAAATATTACTAAGGCTTACAATGTTTTCCTTAGCCTCCAATAAAAATAAGTTATTATTAATAATAATAATCAATAAACACATTAAATGTAAATACTATAAACCGAGGTTATTTTTTGATACTTTCCCTTCATTTGCCAAAAAATAAACCATTTGTATGTACATCCACAAAACTGAATTTGAAGGAGATTCTCATCTTTAATTTTAAAATGCTTTCAAATCCTTTTGTAGTGCTGCATGTACAGAAAATACCATGCACTCATTGTATTTCTGGAGTAGGTGTGGTTTATGTATGTATTCAGCCTACCTTTTCTAAATGACGTTTCTAATTAAGGAAGTTGCTATCTGTTTGAATACAGTTCTGGCAGGACAGTGACAAGCCAGCCATCCCATCCGTGTGTAATTACATGTGCAATTATGTGTGGTGTTGCTGATTTGGAGTGCTTGGATGTGATATGCATAAAGTCTTAGCAAGGCCATCAGAAATCCGAATCTTTGTGTATCCTTTTCCCTTTGATTCTGAATGAATAGCAATAGAAATAGTGGGTGGGGTGGTGGCAGAGATCCCTATACACATTCCTCCAGATACGGAAAATGAAAGAGCTACTCCAAAGCAAAGTTTCTTTTTACATTCAGTCAACAAACCTTTACTGAGTATTTGCTATATGCCAGATGTTCATCAAAATCAGCTCCTTCTTGCTAAAGGTTTTGTTGTTCTCCTCCCTTCCCACAATCTCTGCAGACACAGTCCTTATTATGTTAAGGTCTGGATCATTCCCTCATTAAGACTCCCTGTCCTGTGTACCCCCTTCCTTGAGGGACTTGCTAGGTGGAGCTTTATTGGTAATAACCTGCTTATCATCCAATAAATAAGCCCCAAAATGGACATTTTAGAGAAACAAAGAAGAGATTATATTATGAATATTTCTTATTTATTATAACCTGTGAAAATTTTAATGACTAGGTATTTATTATTCTATGTGTGCCTCAATTTCTTAATGTTCATCCCACTTGTTGGATGTTTAAAATCTTTCCTTTTATTTCTTCCTAATAATGATAAAATGGACATCTCTGTTCTTCAAACTTGATTCCCAACCTGATTTATTTCTTAAGGGTAGAATTACTAAGTCATAGCTTATGAACATTTCTAAGATCCTTAATTATCTCACCAGACCACTTTTCAGTGTGTTTGTTGCAACTTAGTCTCATTGAATGTGTATTTAGTGTTCCTCTCATGCCACCCTAACCCTCATTGAAAAATGAAAACTTTGAAAATCTTCACTGATTTTTTTTTTGTTTAATTTTTGTTTTTCTTATTACTAGTGAGACAATATTTTTCATGTGCTTATTAGACATTTTTAGCTTCTCTTTCATGAGTTCTCTGTTTATGTCATTTGCCCATATTTCTGTTGGAGTTTGTGTTTTTCTTATTCAGTTGTATGAACTTACTACATACATATTGATGATGTTAATAATTTTGTCTTTTTTATCATATTTGGGCTAGAATTCTTCCAAGTATATTATTTGTAGTCATATTATCACTGACAGAAATGAACTTTTTAAAAAATGAGGTCAGTTTATATTGTTTTGTATAGAAGGTAGTTTTCAATGCTTAAAAATTAAGAATATACACCTTAGAGATAAGTGTAGAAAACATCTGTTTCAGAGCTTGGTCCTACCAGTTAATGCTTCTGATATTACCATTACATTCTTAACTTCATGTAAGGTGGTGTGCTCATTACAAAATTATGAGACCAAGCATTTGAGACAGGTATCGAGTTGTTTTTGAACTGACTAGATTCAACATAAAATTCTAGCATTCCCTCATTCACCTACTTCAGTTTTCTCTAACTCCACAGGACCTGAATGGCAGCCCTCATATGGTCTCTTTTTCCTTTTAGACAATTCTTCCTCACTTCAGGAAGATGAGGAGGTAGAGATGGAGGCCATCACTTGGCAAACCAGCAGTCCAGCTATGAACGGGCACCCTACCCCTCCAGTGACCTCTGCTCGTTTCCCCAGCTGGGTCACTTTTGATGATAATGAAATTAGCCTCCCTTCTCTACCAGTCACCTCTCCTCTGAAGCCAGATATACCATCTATTACATCTGTGGTCCCAGATGCACCTTTTAACTCAACTGGGTCAGTTAAGAGGGATCGTCCCAAGAGCACTTTGATGAACTTTTCCAAACTTCAGAAGTTAGACATTTCCTCCTTAAACCGTCCACCTTTCATACCTGAGGCACCACCTTGGAGGGCAACCAATCCTTTCTTGAATGAGACTTTACAGGATATACAGCCCTCTCCTATCAACCCTTTCAGTGCTTTCTTTGAGGAACAGGAGAGGCGTTCCCAAAACAGTTCCATTTCCAGTACCACAGGCAAAAGCCAAAGAGATTCACTCATCGTCATCTACCAGGATGCCATCAGTTTTGATGATTCAAGCAAAAGTCAGTCACACTCTGATGCTGTTGAAAAACTTAAACAGCTCCACATCGATGATCCTGATCATTTTGGCAGCACAACACTACCTGATGATGACCCAGTAGCCTGGATTGAGCTAGATGCTCACCCGCCTGGGCCAGCTTTGTCCCAGCCCAGGGATGGGTGGCCAATGATGCTGAGGATCCCGGAGAAGAAAAACATCATGTCCTCCAGGCACTGGGGACCAATCTACATCAAACTAACGGACAGTGGTTACCTGCAGCTCTACTATGAGCAGGGCCTAGAGAAACCATTTCGTGAGTTCAAGTTGGAGATGTACCATGAGGTGTCCGAACCCCGGCTTCAAAACTATGATGAGAATGGTAGGATCCACAGCCTACGGATTGACCGAGTCAGCTACAAGGAGAAGAAGAAATACCAACCCAAACCTGCTGTAGCCCACACAGCAGAGAGGGAACAAGTGATTAAGCTGGGTACCACCAGTTATGATGATTTCCTGAGCTTCATCCGTGCAGTTCAGGACCGTCTCATGGATCTGCCGGTGTTATCAATGGACCTGAGCACAGTTGGTCTGAACTACCTCGAAGAGGAGATCACAGTGGATGTCAAAGACGAATTCTCTGGCATTGTGAGCAAAGGAGACAACCAGATTCTCCAGCACCACGTCTTAACACGAATCCACATTTTGAGTTTTCTCTCTGGGCTCGCGGAGTGCCGCTTGGGCCTTAATGACATCCTTGTGAAAGGAAATGAAATCGTTTCCCGGCAGGATATAATGCCCACCACAACCACAAAGTGGATTAAGCTCCATGAATGCCGTTTTCATGGGTGTGTGGATGAGGATGTGTTCAGTAGCTCTCGGGTTATTCTCTTCAACCCTTTGGATGCGTGCCGGTTTGAGCTCATGCGGTTCAGGACAGTGTTTGCTGAGAAGTCCTTGCCTTTCATGCTCAGGACCGCAGCCAGTATCAACGGGGCAGAGGTGGAGGTGCAAAGCTGGCTGAGGATGTCATCTGGTTTCTCCTCTAACCGTGACCCTCTCACCCAGGTTCCCTGCGAGAATGTAATGGTGCGTTACCCAGTGCCCAGTGAGTGGGTGAAAAACTTCCGCAGGGAAAGTGTCCTTGGGGAAAAGTCTCTGAAAGCCAAAGTGAATCGGGGGGCAAGTTTTGGCTCAACTAGTGTCTCTGGTTCTGAGCCTGTCATGAGAGTAACACTGGGAACTGCCAAGTATGAGCATGCCTTCAACGCCATCGTGTGGAGGATAAACCGGCTGCCTGACAAAAACTCAGGTAGGTCAGGGTTTCTCTTCTGTGGAAACGCCCATATGCTCCCTGAAAGCTGGGATCACCTTCCATATCTTCATCCTGTATCAAGTGCTTGCTTTTGTTGTGTGGTGGGAATGGTAATGAATGGGGAGGGGCACCAGAATAATTGAAATATTTGTGCAAAATAACAAGCATGGTGACCTAGTTCACTCCATCTTTTCAGCTCCTTGTTATCATAAATCTTCCATAAAAATATGTATTACTCTGCTCAGCTAAGCCGATAAGCAGCTTTCCAAGGAAGCTTCTGAATGTTTATTCTTTTGGGACTCATTAAAGTATTAACTGTGGTGTTAGAAGCAGTCCATTTCCAGATCCTACCTTGGAAGGCTTCTGGGTTCTGAAGAGGCATCTTTCTAGCTGTGCCCTGAATGTAGGTGAAAGGGCCAGTTTGTAGCCAATCATAATTACACATGAAAAGTTAAATTTCTGAGCTTCACTCTGTGAAGCCTGTCAGTCAAAATATCTCAAACTCAAAGTTTGGCTCTGGGACTTTGGGATGGGCAAGAAGGGAAGTGGGCTTCCAATCAGACTGAAGATCCAGCTAGAGCATGAAGGTCCAAATGAGCCCAAATTTCATCAGGCATGAAGTAAAGCAAGGAATGTTTTATTTAAACAAACAGAAAGCATACCAACCCTAGCTGGCCTGCTCCCAGCTGTGGGGGATGCTCTTGTGCTTGATTGAGCCCAGAAGGCAATTACTTTCCTTGTTGGTCCAGAGAGATTTAGTGACATGACAAAACAAGGCAGCAATCAAACCAGCTCTAATAGCTTTCTTTCTTAGAGTAGGCCTGGGTGACCCCAGTGGCAGGAACAAGCTCATGATCCCATGAGCCTTCAAACCATTCTCTTCTTGTTTGTAATAAATTGTGCCCATCTGTTAACAAAAGTGGATTTGCTAGTGGAGCAAAAAGAATAAGCTTTGGGGAAACTCCTGATTGATATGTGTAGCTATGCTTTCATCCATTTTCACAATTAACTCCTAACTGTGTATTCAGAGTGTTCCTCTCCTGGTCAGCAGGTGGAGTGGCTATGTTACCATATCCTAGGTGCAATATGACATGATAGCAAGAAGCAGTACTGTCGGGAAACTCCTCAGGCAGCCCAGAGAGCTGGTGCACACCAGGCACTGTGTGTCAGACACTGGGTGTAGCAGTGCAATCTGATGAGACAATAGGGCTTCTGTTGTTTGAGGCTGGGTTTGCTACCCTCTATTCCTAAATTGACAGAATTTCTAAAACAAAGTCTTCCTCTCTTTGCTTGCTTCTTCACTTCTCTTGAAGTCAACACCGTGTTCTCCTGGTGAACACTCTGCAATTTCTATGTCAGCCATAGACTCGCAACTTTCCAGGGAAGTAAAAACACTGAATCCCCCCATGGCACAAAAGCCCTGGGGAAGAGAGCACTGTGGAATTACTGCACTTCCAAGCTGGAAGGGACCATGGGGAACTCAGCCAAACCTCTTCATTCTACAGATGAGAAATTAAGGCCCTGGAGGTGATGTGACTCATCTAAAGTCTCACAACCACATCCAGGGCTCTTTTGTCAATACCACAGTTCCCACTTACATGGCAATAGATGAAGCCAAACAGACACAAACTTGAAATAATTTCTGTTATAAGAACAGAGATTCGCAGTTTTCTCAATGCATACAAGCATATCTCAAAGTGATTTAAAACATTTAAAAGTACTGTATAAGGGTTTTGATTATAAGCAACAAACACTGACCTTAAGAGAAGGAGAGGGAGGGAGGAATGAAAGAAATAAGAAAGGAAGGAAGAAAAGAAAGAGAGACAGGCTGGATGAATATGAATAGTTCAGAGAACTGAAGAAAAGTTTGAACAGACAGACATCAGAAAAGGCAGCTCTGGAATAGCCCTCATAACTAGTGGATTTCTCCTCAGGGTGCAGCCACTGGGACAAATGGTCACCACCATTTTCTGTCTCATTGCCAAGTGGATCCAGGCGAGGCGTGTCCAGGGCATTTTGACTCATCTAAGCATCAAGCTGATATTCAGCAGCAGGGAAGATTATTTCTCAAAAGAAGAGAAAAAAAAAAAAGATTGCTACCAGAAAAAGGTGGAAATGGACACAGGACAGGGACAAAGCAATATAGGTCTTCAGCAAACATTTTTCTTAATGCTTCCCAGTAGAAAATATTCAATAGCTCAAGGCCAAGTAAATGCAGCAAGTATGTTACTAGTTTACTAGAACCTTATTTGTGGGAGATTTTTAACATACAGGACAGCATAAGGATATTTAAAGATGTTCCTTACCTAAACCCCTGACACCATGCTTTTTCTATCATGGCTATATTATAATATTTTTAGTAGTGACCCCCAATAGAGACTTCTTGTACTACTTCTGGCCCATGGTATGTTTCTGAACCCATTCAGGAAATTAATAGTACTCTCTTCTGGAAACAAGCTATATATGATCTATGCCCTGATCAGACTGCAATTTCCTACCATAACTGGAAATCACTGTGCCCAGCCCTTGCCCTCTCATCCTATGCTCCATCCATGAAACAAGAAAACTGATGATGATCTATTAGTAATAGCCCCATTTTCCTGAATTCTTCTATCTAGGTGTTAGTCTTAGCAAATCACCTTTTAAGGTTTTTTTTTGTTTGTTTGTTTGTTTTAATGACTTCCACCTCCATTTACAGGGGCCCAGCAGAAGTCAAAAGGCCCAGCCGGCTGAGAGGCCTGAACCTCTCCACACACACTCCTACCTACCTTGGCCCTGCTTCTGCATCCCACAGTTGGTGTGGCAGGCAGACTACAGGTAGCATGGGCCAGCAAGTGTGCAGCCACCGTGGGCTTGTTCTCTTCTTAGCCCCCAGGAAACCATGTAGCTGCTTTTGAATTCCATACTGCTTCCAACCAGCAGGGCCCAGCCAAGTGCACAAACCCAGCTAAATGTTCCAAGGATTCCTCCCACCGAAATCTCAACAGTTTTTTCTTAATCTTAGGAGATGCTGGAAATAAGTCCTGCTTACTCCACAGGTCTCACAAGAGGAAATAAAGCATTCTATCCTACATAGGTAACTTTGCTGGAATTCTAGTTCTCTTTAGATCAGGTAAAGATAAAACAATTCCAATAAGAATAAAGCCTTTTGGGAAAAAAAAAAAAAAAAACCCTGAAGTTTAATGTTACATTTTCTCATTTTCATCAAGGAAAATAACATAATGTGTAGGCTTTTTTTTAGCTCATTACTGTGAATTAAACTATACCAGTTTTCAAATTACACTTAAGTGTCCACCAGCCTCACACATCTAATAATGGAGGCGAGGAATCTAGGAAAAGATGTTGCTTTCAGAGTTTGCTGTGAAAGGAGGGAGTCACTTTTGTAAAAGAAATGAGTTTTCAGTATTCCAACAACATGCAAATAAAGGTAAATTAGATAAAAGCAGTTAATCAAGTTCTTAGTAAAAGACTCTTTCTATGTATGTTGTATTTTCTAATTCTATAGCAGCATATTGAGAAGAATTTAGGGCATAATTTGGAGTCAGAGTCAGATCTGAGTTTGATTCTCAGCTCTACTGCTTAATGTGGTGTGACCTCAGGCAATGAATTTAACCTTCTCAGAGAAACCCAATTTTTCTCATCTGTAAAATAGGGCTATTAATACCTAGCTCATTCAGAATGAAATTAAGATAAATCTTTTTTAAATGTTCAGCACAGTATCAAGTCTGTAACAAATGTCAGTGAATGATAGCTATATAATTACATCTGTGGTACACAATTAAGAAGATATATGTAGATTCACTTTCAAATAATGTAATTTCTACAATTACATGTATCTTATTTAAATTCCTTTCCTAAAAACTAGTGCAAATTTTTCAGTTAATTTCCCAAAGTCTTACTCTTTACAAGTTACCATTGAATTAGGTTACATTTATGAAACAGCAAAACAATACTTCACTCTGTAATGTTTTCCTTGGAGAGTAGGTGTGTACCTTCTTAATTTCTGAGTTTGAAAGTCCTATCCTGCCCAGTAAAAAAGGGGGGGAGGGAATTGTTTACTCAGGGACAATGGATAACTAAGGAGATGTTTCAGTTACACCATTAAGTCAACTAGAAAGCTCAGGCATTTTCTAGCCATGACCTTGGACAGCTCACTTTGTTTCATGGTCTGAAAGTGAGGATGATATTATGACTTCAAGGGTTTTGTTGTGAAGATTCAGTGAGAATACCTGTGGAAAGCACTTAGCCTCCTGCAGGCACAGGGCATTCAACAATCATTTCCTGCTGTGCTTGAAGAATGGCAGAAAGCTTGAAGGGTTAAAGTCATAGAACTAAGCTCTAATCCCCCCCCCCCAAGTCTAATAATAATTCTCAAACAAAAATCAAATCCTTAATTTGCCATCCAAGTATAATTACATATAGACTTATAGAATTGGAGCAGCAAGGGGCTGTGCCTGGCATACACCAGCCCACCCTTTTGTTATCCCTTCCATCTCCCCACTTTACAGTTGAGGAATTGAGACCTGGGGAGAACAAAAGACTTGGGTGTGGACTCTATGCCACTTGCATTGCAGCTGGAAGCCAATGCATGGTATTCTGATGTGGATCAGTTATTCTGAGGTGTGTACCACACTTTCCCTAATACATGTGTGCTGTCTATAAGGCTTTTGTCACTTACATATGTCATTCACCCACAGAAATATGCTAAAAGCCTTTTTGAAAATATGAAATGGTATTAAGAAAAGTCAACTCATCCTTCAAAGGAAAGCAATGATTTTGCTCCAGGTGGCTGTCATTGATGTTTTACTATGTGCTAAGTGCTGATCCCTTTTATTCTATTCTTTCAATCTACAACCCCTTTTAGTTTGTACTGCATCCACATATCACCCTGATCTATGCAGGCAGAATGGTCTGTTTCTCAGGCTATGGGTTTTATTGATAGGATACTGGGCAGTGGTCATTAGACAATGTTTTATCAAATGGTCTAAGGCATACAGAGCCTGCAGCAGCAAATCCTCCAATTAACACTGAACCATCTGTAAGACTGCCAGGTGCCCAGCCTACTGGTCTCCTTTGTTACTGAGGTAGCTCTTTTGACCTTTTTAAAATTTTTTAAATTCATCCCCAAAGAACCTGACCTGGATTCTTTCTTTCATAGCTTCTGGTCACCCACACTGTTTCTTTTGCCACCTTGAACTTGGTTCTGACCGGGAAGTGCCTTCCAGATTTGCCAGTCATGTGGATGTTGAGTTCAACATGCCCACAACTTCTGCCTCCAAAGCCGCTGTGAGATCCATCTCCGTGGAAGATAAGACTGATGTCAGGAAGTGGGTCAATTATTCAGCACATTACAGCTACAAGGTAGCCTTGGGAGGGGTCTGCCTGATGTTTGCAAGCCCATCTCTTAACACTACTACCCTCCCCCTCCTTAATCCTTTTAGCAATGCTTACTGTTGTGCAGAGTATGCTCTTAGCATTCTAGAGGAAGTACACATACATAGCTGTGGATGAGTCTGCTCTGATTTTAATGAATGATCTCTTGTGAGCAAGACAAAGGTTGGAAAAAAATAAAGGGGCTGTTTACAGAGGAGAATGCAATGTCTCTGTCCTTGTGAATAACAGCAGTAGAAAGAACAGAGGGCCTGGTGTGGTAGTGCACACTTGTAATCCCAGTGGCTTGGGAAGCTGAGACAGGTTCAAAACCAGCCTCAGCAACTTAGCAAGACCCTGTCTCAAAATAAAAAATAAAAAGGGCTGGGAATGTCCTCAGTGGTTAAGTGCCTCTGGGTTCAATCTCTGGTACCAAGAAAAGAAGAAGAAGAAAAAAGAACAGTGGGTGTAAATTTATTATTATATCATTTGTAATATAGTTTGTTGCAGAATAGTGAATGTGGAAGCAGAAGGGAGTTATCAGGAACTTGTCTAACCCTAAACACATTTCATCAGCATGAGTTGATGAAGTGGATCAAAGCAAATTTAAGACACATATATGACCTGGGCACTGGGCTGTTACAATACAGCAAATTTCTACAATGGTATTAGGATCCAGGCTATGGAAGGAGTAATAAAAATTGTTGTTTTAAACAAGGATTTTGCAAAGTAGTTTAATAATTTCCTATTCACAATGATACCCTTACATTTATATGGTGATTTATGATTCCTCTGTTTCCTTAGTTGTGTGGTCTAAAACATTTAACTACCCAAAAGAACAAATACTCCATCTTGTGGCCAGGAAAAAAAATAGCATTTTCCTCAAGCATGACCCTGTGCTGTCTTGAATCATTACCCTCCAAATGGAGCGGTAAACTGAGAGAAGCAACCTTAATTATGAAATTCCTGAGCTTGAGGGATTCCCTGCCTGACTTATCAAAGGCTTCATTTGAAGTGTGTTATTTTCAAGTGGAGATTTATTTATTGAACCCTTTGAAAAGACAGCATATTTTGCAGAAGATATGGTAGAACTATAAACACTTCACTACTTCTAGTTTGGAGGCTTTTAAAGTGGTAAAATATTTGGAAAGGTTTAAAGAATCAGTTACAAAGGAATTTATTTATTTGATAAACATTCATCAATTGCCTCCTGTTTTTCTATATTATTAGATAAAATGGTGAACAAGATCTTGGCCCTGTCCTGTGGAGCCAGACTAGTGTATGAGATACAGTAGAAATATTCATAGGGGAAGCACAAAAGTCTGCTTAATGAGTCCAGAACACAGACAATCTTTGAGTAACTATGCATGACAAACAATAAGAATTTTTCAGGTAATCCATGAGGAAGAGGGAATTTCAGATCATGTGAAGAACATATGCAAAGCGAAAGTCATGATGATACACTAGGGCCAGTAGCTCCAACATGGATAACCTGACATTAGTACAATTACAAGGAATCCTAAAAGACACTACCAAGATTCTTTTTAGTTTTTGTGCCCTTCCTTCTTTCCTTCTTTCCTTCCTTCCCTCCTTTCTTGTTATTGTTTTGTTTTGATGTTTTCTCCAATTTTTATTTTGGCAGGTGGAAATTGAACAAAAAAAGAGTTTGAAGCCAGACTTTGAAGGAGATGAAGTAGACAATCCCAAGGAGTGTGGGATACAGTGACAAAGCCTTCAGTGAGGAACCTGATCCAAGAGTCATGACAGGGTGTCTTCCTGAATAGCTGAGGTTTAAGTCAATACCTGCTGTGGCCACTCCATGCTGGGAACAGTCCATCCGATCTTCTCATTTACAGTCACCTGTATTTTAGCAGGAACCCTGAGGTGGCTGCTGTGGAGAGAGGCTTGTTGAGTCTGACCATACCTGAAGCACATGGTTCACCTGACTTTTGGAGCTTACTGTGTAATTGAGCCTCCTTGTCTTTTTTCTGCTTATATCAGAGCACTGGCTTATGGTTTTTTGTGACTGTTAGAGTCTGTAAAAGAACCTCCAACATCAGTGTTGGCATGATTTCTTTCTGATGTTCATCTGCCACTCATGAATTTCTGAAAAAAGTCAAAAAGCAGTCTTAAGAATTCATATCTGTCACCAGGCACAGTGACACATACCTATAATCACAGTGACTCAGGAGGCTGAGAAAGGAGGATCACAAGTTCGAGGCCAGCATCATCCATTTAGTGAGGCCCTCAGCAACTTAGTGATACCCATCTTAAAAAATAGAAAGTGCTAAGGATATGGCTCAGTAGTGAAGTACCCCCTGGATCAATCCCTAGTATCAATTTTTTTTTTTTAGTATCTGTCACTTCACTCCTCTAGAAAAGGTTCAGAAAAGGTTCACAACAAATTTCTTCTTTGGGTCTACTAGACCTTTCATAGAAATCTCCATTCTTTAAATGTTAACACTATGCAACAGAAATTTTTCAGATTTCCTCCTGGTTCTAGATTGTTTAGATTGAAACACTTTTTCCATTTCTCTTGAGATTTCAGTCAAAGGATTTGCTGTCCTAAATTACAATAGACAATAGGAAAAGGCCTATTAGGATATATTTTTATTCTGTGATTGGACCTACATTCTGCAAATGGATTGGACTAGATTTACATTCTGTTGAAGGGAAAGCAAAATTGAACTTATTTCCTTTCTCCTCATTCTGACGAAAAGGGACATTAAATTTAAGATTATATACATATCAGGAGACACTTTCAATCTCATTAAATTCCCAAATTCACACTGAAAAATACAGGCCACTTCTGATTCCTGAAGCAACATACACACACACACACACGCACGCACACACGCTTGCACACTCTATACCTCAGGCAGTTGTCAGGGGCATTTGGGAGTTCTTTTTATACCTTCGTAGCCAATATACTGTTACATGGCTCTTCAGCTCACTTAATAGGAGATTTAAGCTGAAAAGATAATTTTAAAGATTGAATGAGCTTTCCCACAAAATTCAGAGTTTGATAATCACAGTATTATAATAGATCAAAAATGCAGAAAACTGTAGGGTAAGGGTGGGGAAAAGCCATATTTATCAATGTTGTGAACATTAAATCCTGATTCTAAGAGTCAGGACATTCTGCCTTCTTTTCCTGCTTACCTCTGTTTCTTATTTGTACCTTGGTGTTTTCTCTCATGAAGAATGGAGTGAGGGGACAGAAAGTACACTTTTATCAGCTTTGTACATAATAGAGAAATAAATAATATCTCCAGTTTTGGAATGACCAATTTCAGGACTAATTTATTCAATGAATATTCATTGAATTCTAACTATGTACTGATAATAGGTTATAAAAATTGTTACAATATTTTAAAGTTATCTAAGCACAGGAGTGAATCTATAAAAGAATGAGTTGGATAGGCATTAATGAGAAACCCTTTTTCTGAGTTTTTAAAATGCAACCCTTTAAGTATAGAGTAGAATACCATGTGAATGTGTGTGTTTATGTGTGTGTTCATAAACAAGGTCATTAGGAAGACATTTCTGTAGCTATTCATGTAAAAATATTTTCTTAGGGAAATGATAGTTCAGTTTTGAATTGGGAGAATACTGTAGCAATTCACAAAACTAATGCATTCAACCTATGTCAAATGAAGTTTAGAAAGTTCTGCAAGATGTATTGGTCAGTACACATCTGGATGGAGGGCTGGGTTCAGTTATAGATACTGTATTTTAAGAGAGGCATTAATAACTTGATTGTCCACAAGCAGGTGATCAGGGTTGTGCAGAGTCTGATTATATAAGAAATAGGGGACTAGCTACCCTGAGGAACAGAAGATATAGCTGGGAAGGGAGTACAGGGAAGGAGGGAATATTATAATAGCTGCCTCAAAATTTCTGTTGATCTATAAAAAGAGGAAATAGATTTGTTTTGTGTAGCTTCAGAGGGCAAAAATAAGAATAAAGAGGAACTTTACAGATAAAAGATGTCTGCTTTAATATAAGAAAGAATTTTCTAAGAAAAGTTGTTCTAAAGAGGAATAAACTCAAGTGTAAAATTTCCTGTTGCTGCCTATGCCCAAAGGTTACAATAACCACCTATCCTGGGTGCTATGAAAGGGACTCTCACATTTAGATTTGGGTTCGATGATTACCAAGATCCCTTCTAAATAGTCTCAATAGGAATAAGTCTCTAATTCCAGTGATCTTTTCCTTCTTACATGTTTACATGTTCTTTAGAATATAGCAGAGCCCCCAGAGGGCTTTGTCAAGGGATTTCAAAGCATATCCTTTCCCTGGTTGTACTAAAGGAACTTAAGATTCCTAAGGAGTCTGCTTGGGTTGGAGAGTTGGCAAGATGAATAAGAGCATCCTCACCCGTTCCTTACCAAGCTGAGCACTGTGTCCAGATCCCTGCCTCCCTGCTAGCAGAGCATGCAGATTGCTTGATGGATCTCAGCCCTATCCCCTTGGCTAATTCTCATGCCTTCTTGCTTTCACCTGGACTGTGATTTCTAACCAAAAGTTGGGAAATCCCTTCCATGCTTTCTTCATTCAAGCCAGCCATTTATTACTAATTTTTAAAAACATAACTACCTTGATTTCATCAAATTTGTTTTGCCTCTGATTAAAATCAGAGGGAACTGATTATGGGTAACATTTCAGGGGTTGGGAGATTCAATACAATATATTTTTAGTGTTTTACTAATAACTTCCATAAACACTGCTGGGCAAATTACTTTTTGATGTGCAAATTGTTTGTCACTGTGGACCTGGTTGGTTTTTTGTTTGTTTGTTTGTTTTGTGTGTGTAGGGAGTTACCAAAAAAATCTTGGTCTATTATCAAAAATGTGAAAATATTAAAAGTGAATTTATTTTACCAATACATAGTGTTACAATAGAACATAAATTAGATGTCACATGACATCAATAGCTGTACTCGCTTTCTAGGGCTTGCTTTTCAACTACACAGTAAAAGAGGGCACAAAATGTATTCATTATGATATGTCAAAGTGGGGAGACCATTCAACCCCCTTTGGTTGCTCTTATAGACATAGTAGTTATTCCTTATCAAAAGTTTGCACTTTGTTCATATTAAATATCACTGGACAGTTGTATTGTGCTTTTTTACTTTCTGTTTGGTTCTTCTTTTATTCTCTACCTTCCTGAATTATTATTAGGGCTCCTAATCCTTGAGAACATTTTTTAATTTAAAATATTTCTTGTTTGAAATGAGACTAATTTTTATTCAAATCCTGTGGTTAGGAGCGAAAGTTTATTTCCCTAGAAACTCAAGTTCCTGAGAAATGTGATGTTGAAGACAAGGAGCACATCTTATTCTTTTTGTTTCCAATAACTAGCACAAAGCTTGGAATTTAATAAGGTTCAGCCACCTTAAATCTTTATTGATAGGGCAAACATATTCATGAAATAAAAGGAAGTTATTTGATATTTAATAAATGTTTGTCAAAAGAAAACTTCCCCTGAAACTCTAAGGCTACCATCAAATACTCATATTAAAGCAAACAAGCAGCTTTTATTTTCTGGAGGATTTAAATAATTTGTCTTGCCAGGCGTGGTGGTGCATGCCTGTAATCTCAGTGGCTTGGGAGGCTGAGGCAGGAGGATCATGAGTTCAAAGCTGGCCTCAGTAAAAAAAGTGAGGTGCTAAGCAACTCAGTAAGACCCTGTCTCTGAGAAAATACAAAATAGGGCTGGAGATGTGGCTCAGTGAGTGCCGTGACTGCCCGAGTTCAATCCCCAGTCCAAAAAAATAATTATTATTTTTCTTTTATTCTTGCCTTGAAAGTCAACTAATAAGAACTGTTGGCACATTTCGTGTGCTACCGAATTTGAACTTAAAATGTACCGTATTCATACTGAGAAACATTTTTATGCCCCAAAGTGCAAAGGCAAGATGTGCTGCCTATAGCCAGATTGATTCAGTTTTGGTGCTGCACGTCAGCTCTATGGGCCCAGACCTTGCCCATTAGAATGGCCAAAGCAGAAGAAAGCATTTGATGGGAGTGCACAGCCAGTCTCAGTGTGCCAGGTCTTTGTTCTCCCCAACATTAACCACAACTGGGGTTACTGTCACCACAGTGATAAAGGTCTGAAAAGGCTGAAACTTGCCAGATGAAATCATGATAAAAGTAATAATTTGATTGGTGGAAAATATGCTATTTTTTTTTCTTAAAGCCTTGGGAATTACTAAACTGGTGTGAGTAGGAAGCACTACCACCCAGCCTACATAGATATATTCTCCCTGTTGGAACTGGTAATTTTTAACTCAAGAATTATTATAAGTTATTTTCAGCATATCCAGAGTTTAGATTATGTGAAGAATGCAATCTAACAGGTATTTTTAACAAAACCAACAAAAATAAAAATTTTAAAAATTATCTGGTAAACAAAGTGTCTCAATACTACACTACCAAATCCCCTCCAAACCATGACAATTCTGTATGTAAAATCAAGACATTCTCACCAAGTTTCTAAGGATGTTTTCTAAACATTAGCAATGCCTAAATGCCCTACAGATCACCAGTTCTTAATTATCTTTTTTGTAAATGAGACTGACTTTGAGTATTATGATTCGTATTTATATACTTTGAGAATTAAAAGTGAAGGAGATATGTAAGGCAACCATAAATGTAGAGAACAAATGTATCTATTAGTAACATTTTCCCATGTGTTAACTGCAGCAAAAATGTGGAATTTTTACATTTCTTTTAGAGTGCCTTAGCAAATCTGCTTGGGAAAATCTAGTCCTATGTTTTGAGAATTGAAAAAGAAAAATGTATCACTCCACTTAAAATTCCAGCCTATAAAGGCAGAAACCTTTCATAATAATATGTTTGGCAGTACCTAGACAAAGGCAAGTAACAACTGGATATAATAAAAAGTTATAAAAGAACAGGCTAAAGAAAATAGTATCTCAATATGAAAAAGTATAAAAAGACATGGAGAATATAGCTTTGGACAATAACCCTCAAAATACT